GACAGAGAGACTGTCTCCAGGGTCAAATGGCTGTGACGGCACTGAAGGGGCTGGGCTAGGATGCTGTCCTTCACCCTCAGCCAGTGATGATGGTGACTGGGGCAGAGGCAAAGATGAGGGGCTGTTTCTGAGATCACGACAGGGGTCATCCTCATACAGCACTGGAACTGTGATGTCCTCCATGCTGTGCTTCTCTAACCCTTCATCTTGTAGATCCTGGTCGTCTACTTGTCCACCAGCCTGTCTTCCTCCTCTGGGTTCTGGAGCACCGGAGTCAGGGTTTTGCCGGTCTGGCTGTAAAGGTACTCCATTCCCAGCAATTCACCTTAAAGAATAAAACAATAAAAACATATATTAATTAAACAAATAATATAATAAACATTTAGATAAACATTTTGTGTAGTACATTAAAATCTCAATAAATAACTTTCAAAATAACAAATTAATGAATTTCTTGCCTGTATCTGCTCCAGGAGGGTGATAGCGGTCATCCCAGGGCTTCCCTTAGACTGCTCGGCTAAGCCTGTCCACAGCCTCTCTCATGGCACTGCCATATGACCGTATGGAGGATGCTCCTTTTATGGTGCTTTCCATCCAGTCATCATTCCAGCGCATCAAGCCCTCAAGGAGATAGGCCTGAAAATGCACATCACTGGCACTGGTCCCTGAAAGTTAAAACAATTAAAAATGTAAAAAGGATTAAGTAACATGTTATTAGGTTATGTACTAACATTAAAATTATTGTCATTTTAAAACAGAGTTACTTGTCAGGCAAGACAGCTTTGTCAATGCTGATAACATCACAAATGTTATTTAAAGGGCACCTAGGTTACCCCTTTTTTCAGATTTAATATAAGTCTTTTGCGTCTCTAGAAGGTGTATATAAAGTTACAGATCAAAATACCCATCAGATTTTTCATTATACCTTTTACAAGATGCTGTTTTATACTGATTTCCAGCAGGGGGTGGTTTTGTCGTACTGTGCCTTTAAGCCGAGTTCTGCCCGCCCACTGTTTCTACATGCCTCCTCCCTCAGCTGCGCCAGACAACAGACAGACTTAAAGGAAGAAGGTCTCACGTAGCGTTTGTGAGATACTACAGTAAGAACTAACCTTTACTAATCAGTATTGTGAAGCTGCATTGATGAGTCACACACAATATCGTTACAAAGTTAACGCGCACGCACACACACACACACAGATGCACATGCAGGCAGGCATGCAGACAGACAGACAGACAGAGCGCGCTTAGCTTAGTTAAGGCTAACCTCAAGTACTGTGTGGATATCTTTTATGCTAATGTACAAAATAAACCTGATTTAACTTCCACAAACCGGAATTGAACCGTCGTCTTTTATAATTGTTCTGACACGCGGCTGTGCTGATGAAGTAAAGCTGAAGTAAAACGCTGTAATTACACACTCTGTTTTAAAACACTTTAAACATGTGAAACTTACTCTTAATCACATTTGATGATGATTGCTGATCCTAGCGAACAGAACAGAGCTTTTATTCCCGGTTGCTTTGCGTATGTCTGTCTGGTCTTGTTGACATATACACGTGACTACCGGAACATGTTAATGCGCGCAGCTGTCAATCAATTTGGTGGGCGGGGGGATCGCACACCTACGTAATGGTGCAATCGATTTGAAAACAGCTCCAATTGGCCGACCCTTTTTTTGTAGTTAAATTGAAAAAAAAGGACTGGGTGTGTTCATATCCCCCCAGTATGACGGTCTATACACTATACCAACACACAGATCTGTCCAAACAGCTTGAAAAGTAGATTTTTTTACCATAGGTGCCCTTTAAATGTTTAATAATGTGACATTAAAGCAATGGAAGTAATCACAGTACTTATGTTTTACAAAAAAAAAAAAAAAAGTTGTCCAAATGTATGTAATACCTGGAATATAATAGTTTAGGTGGAGGTGAAAGAACTCCAAGGATGTAGAGCCACAGGCACACCTGTAGCAACACAGCTCCACACCGCCTTTCTTCATGGTCCCCGTCTTTATGTACAGTGGAAAGTCCTCAGGGTCTTGAATGCACTGTACATGCTTCTGCTGTTCCTTCCATATCTGCTCGATCCGTTCTTGGTCCAGCAGAGGAACACCCAGAGTATCCTTCCCATGCTCGCTTTCAAAATGGTCCAACAGCTTTCCAGTCAAACAGGTTGTCTCCTCCAAACCCTTGGTCCTCCTACGGCAGTGCAGTGCTAGCTCCCTCCAGTTTTTGCAAGCACTGAATGCCGTTTTTGAGATGCAGCCTGTCTTCTTTGCCGCCAGCTCACCTTCCTTTGCCTGGCGAAGAGCGGCCACATCTTCTGGATCCCACTGAAAGATGCACGTGGAAAGACGTACCACGAAGATCCTGTAGAGCAGATTAGCTTCTGTCTTGACACCTGCAGCAAACCGGCGCATAAAAATGGCAGATGTCAAGGCGCACTTCAAGCTTATCCCACTCCCGAAACATGATCTTTACCGGAGACTGCAGCCATCTCTGTCCACGTACATTACTTTCGAGCTGCCTACCCTGCCCCCCGGTAACGCTTCATCATATCTGGATATAAACCTTTTTTTGTGGAGTCCATCTTTAAAACACAGCCAAAGAACAACAGCATCTTATAAGTCTGTAAAATAAACTATTAAAAGTGCTGATGAATGTAATAGTAAGTGTTGTAGTGTCGTCTTTCATGTTGTATCTCAGCTTTAATGCGCTTTTTAAATGGATAAATAAAAAAAACAAAGCAGCTGCTTGCCATCGTGACAGCAATAAGATCCAATGGACGGCCGATCGCTTCACTCTAAAATGGTGGAATCATGAGGCTGTTGCTGGGCGCTGATGTTGCTATGGACATGTTCTATTGAGTGTTGCCTCTTGGTCATTCTAAGCTCTTTGCTTGGCTTCTGCTTGCATTTCCTGTTTCCTCTAGTACCTCTCTACTTTTTCTGCTGTCTCCCTGATGGAGGAAGTGTACTGAAGAAACAGGTGTTTGTTTTCTGACAAGGATATTGTCTGCAGCTTCTCATCTGAAATGCTGAGCTCCAGGTACACCGCTTACCCCAGTGCATGCTCTAGAAGCCATCTAAATCTCTGGCCCTGGTACTTGCCAAACTGAATTTTGCAGTGAGACAGTACTAAAAACTGGTCACTGGGGTCTCCACCATTGCTGCTGACAAAAGCAATGGTCTCTGCCAGCACCTCTTCCTTGGGTTTGGCCCTTCCAGACTTCCTGCTTTCAAGGTGCTCTGCCTCTGCACATGGCCCCAAGAGGTGTCGGCTTGATTTCGCTGATTGGTGGCGGAAAATCAGGTATGCGTACATTTTTCTGAAAAAAATCATGAGAGAGAACATTACCTTGAGCAATCTGAAAGATGTATTTACATTAAAGAGGTGGTCCAGAATGTAATTTTAAAACTTGGCTGTGTTTATAAGATGCAAAGCAATGTGTGTTCATGTTTCACTTGAAGGAAATCGCGTTATTTTTTCATATATGTCACTTTGATTATACACAGCTATTCAGCTAACATGAAAACGACTGTCAAATTTCCTAGTTCCTCTGAAAGGCCCGCCCTTAAGTGACTCTGATTGGTCATAGTCCTAATGTGCTGCTATTCGCGGATCGGCTCCACGTCACGCCTGTAAAAGCACGTGCTTTTCTGCTGTTTAAACAATCAGTCAACCTCCTGCCTGCTCTCTATATTAAAATCTGACAAGTGTCTGTAAGGAGTGAAAACGGGGTGCCATTGTTTGTCTATGTGTGTGCATCTATGTGTGTGTGTGTGTGTGAATGTGTGAACTTTCTTTAACAAGCGCATGTGCGCGGGAGTTTTTTTTTTCTTTTTTCTCTGATGCTCAGATTAAGTTATTTTCTGCAATATATTGTGACAGAAAAATAAAGCACAAGATGTGGGATGCTATCTGTGTGAGCCTTATTATTTTTCTGCTGCTACCACGAGTCAGGTGAGCTCTTCTGTATTTTTTTAACTCTATGCATTACACGACGTCTTTCATATATATCTGGAATATGCAGGTGTAAATAATATGAATCACTCACATATCTTTTGTGACTTCTTTATCTAAGATGTGAAACGCATGGCAAAGCCGCCTGAAGACAATCAATGCAGTCGCGCGCACACATAGAGACACAAACGTGCTGGTGGAGTGTGTGTGTGTGTGTGTGTGTGTGTGTGTGTGTGTGTTTACAGCAATTTGACTGATAAACATGAATTTGTAGCTCAATCATTTGTCTGCAAAGCTGCATTTCCCATTGTTTACATCATTGCTACAGCATACCGTTAACGCTAGACACTGTACATGTCATGATCAATTTTAACAAAAACACTTACAGGTTGTAGCTCACAGCTTCTGCTTTGAGAGATTTTAACCGAATCCAGCACTGAACTGGGAGAGATTCTGGAGCTGTTTTGTCTAATCATGCTTGCTATGCATTTATAATTTTCTGGAATATAATTAATATTGATTTAGCATTTTCTTTCCCCCCCAACATTCGTGTAATTTATTTACTATTAAATAAATATTAATATTATTTAATATTAAATAATGGTAAATTGTTTTATTCCTCCATAGCTAATAATATGCTGTCTTTCAGTCATCAGAAGCCATTCAAAAAATCAAATGCATAAACATTATTTTATTTATTTATTATTTTATTTATGCAGGAATTTATGGATTTATTTACTCATTTATTTATATAGTTGCGTATTTATTTATTTATTTTTTTTGCAGGTTTCGTCCTCCATAGGGTAACATTCAAACCTTTGAAATGACAGCAAATTCAGTCAATTGTAGAAAATTGCAGATCGAATGCAAAATTATTTAAACTGAAAATAGCAATTTATGACTGTTTTATATCATTCTGCCGCAGACAAGTAAAGTACATCCATTTTAATGAGCAAAATAAACCCCCAATTTTAATCTTCAGAAGAGACGCGTTAAATCCTGACACGGAAGTGGGCGTGGACTCTCAGCGGAAGTGATCATGAGTCTGCGCTGAATGAGAAGCAGAGAAACGTTCAAACGTGATCACGCCGAGAAGCGAAAATACTAATTATACCAAGGTAAAGTTTTCATCGTTTATTTTTTTAATGAATCGTATTCACAATGTACGTTTTTTTTCAACTGATCTATATGTTTAATTTCCGGCTACGTTAAAGGAGTGTTTGTTGTGAAGCCGCCGGCCTGCGGAGGCCTCCGTGCGCTCTTTGTTTCCGTACTAGCCGTTGATCTGCCTGCATAAGAGGGCCACAGTTGATGTTTTGTTTCATCATAAACATTATTAGTGGGTTATTTTAATGATGCTAAACATTTAAAACTTATATTGAGTGAGATAAAGCATTTAGTTACATAAAGGCAATAAACAGTCCACGTGACTCACTCATGGACGAGATTGTTTCCTGGATCAGCGCCGTGGTTAAATAATCTCTTTTTTTTCTTCTTAAGCTTGAAAACAGATTTATTGTGTTATCATGGCCGACGATGAAGGATTTGTCGTTCGTGTTCGGGGTCTGCCTTGGTCTTGCTCTGCAGAAGAAGTATCCAGGTTTTTTTCAGGTGATAATGTGGAGTCTACGAATATCATACTTCTGCTTGGGGTAATTAATCGTGGCTAAAAGTGAACGAAACCACTTTTTTCTTTCACTTTTGTTTTTTAGGCTGTAAAATTTCCAGCAATGGATCAGCCATCCACTTCACATACACACGAGAAGGCAGACCGAGTGGTGAAGCTTTTGTGGAGCTGGAGTCAGAGGACGACCTGAAGATCGCGGTCAAGAAAGACAGGGAGTCAATGGGCCATAGATATGTAGAAGGTATGGCTTACAGAGGAGTTTTATAAACATTACAGTACACAGGCTTTTAGATAGTGTTGGTTGAATATGAAAATAATGAAATAAATATTGTTCTGTTTCATCTAATAAATAAAAAAAGAAAGGTAAAATAGTTAAAATTAAAAGATTACATGACACTAAAACTGGATTAATGTTGCTTGCCCACATTTGGGTCTGTGTTACTGTAAATTAGCTAAAGATATTTGGGTAACACTTTAGTTTAACCAGTTAAGCTCTGGGGCTATTTGGGGTAATTCCGCCTGAATTTGGCCTTCCGATTTAAAAAGCTTCCCATACCCTCATGCAGAGGTGTAAATACGAAAGTTTGGTATCATTTGAAAGGAAACCCTTTGAAATTTCATAAAATACAGTTGAAATGGAAAACAATTGTTGAAAAACGATTGTTTTCCATTTCTACCCTTTATTCAAAAAATCTCATCCCCGAGCTGTTATAATAATAATACAATAAAAAAACAAAGTATTTCCTGTGTTCAGTCCAAATATCTAAATATTTTTAAACCAAGATACATACTAGACACATAAAATAGCATAAAAAATTGTCTTGTTTTCTGAATAAAAAACAAAACATCTCAATTATGTGATTGTTTGTTTAAAACAAGCTAAATTATTTGCCAATGGGGTAAGAAAAATAATCCTAATGAGATCTAATCTCACAGAAGTTTCAAGCATCACTTAATTTTCTCATGCCATTTTTCTTGTCTAGTCTTGATTTAAGATGTTTTAGATATTTGGACTCGAAACGAGACGAAATGACTAAGAAAGAAAAGCGTTTTTGCAGTGCAGCTATACATGACTACAGATGAAAAAAAGAATGATACAAAAAAAGGTGAGTGAATAAAAACGTGTCCTTAGTGTTGCAATGCATAGTAACTATACCACCGCTGCTTTACTACTGTTATTGACCCTTTCGCTGAGTTTTAAAGATTTTATCTGGCCCTGGGAGTGAGTTTTGTTATTGTTTTAGAACATTACCCCTTAATGTTTCCATGGCGATGCGTTGTGCTTGTCACGTGACACACTGCTGCCTCAATAGCAGATGTGTGACAGATGTATCCTGTTAATGGATTTATTTTCCATTTTAATGCAACATCACATAAACGTGAAAGTGATCGAGATCTATAAAGTGAAATGGGAGTCGCCATTTCTTCTTCTTTTTTATTTACTTGCGGCTGCGCGTTTGTCTCATTCATAAAAGCAGAACACGCAGGACTCAGCATATAAATTTACCAGTTATCTGATATGGAAAATACACATCTGCAAATTATATTTGAAAGCATTGTAAGACTTCCATAGATTTCCTTGTTTTTTACAAGATCGAAATGTCTTGTTTTACTAATATTTGTGTGTATTTACATGTCTAAACATAAAATAAGCATTAGGCGGGAAAACCCCGCATAATTGTAATGACACGTCTTTTCCTGGCTCAGATCCAGCCAACACAACAAAGCTCAGTTTGATTTTTTTTTCAGTTGCTGCTCTAAGGGTTAATGAGCTAACGCTAACTTGTCATGCTTGTCGAGCTGGATAACGAGTAAAAACATCAGCACCAGGAACTTTACAGTCCTCACTTCAAAACGGAACAAAAGTAGGATTCTGTAGTGATTTACCCTGCTGCTGAACTCCTTTCCTCCTCATCCATATCTATGAGGCGCCTAACTCTGTATCAGTGCGCAAGAGAGACCGTGTTCACTCCGCTCTGTGCTGAACTAAAGTTTTTTTTTTTATATCAATCGTCTCCGTGTCGCGCGGCATCTAATCAATTATGAAATTCGTTGCCAGCTCTTTTAGTAATTTTTAAAAAATTTATCAATTTAATCAATTTGTTGTTGCAGCCCTTGTCAAAAAGGTAACGCCTAGTGTTTGAAGGATACTGCTTCAAGATATGACTTTGCAGTAGTTAGTAGTAAGTTGTTAGCAGCAAGCAGTAAGTATAGATGCCTGTATAGATATTTTGGTATGTAAACCACTGTTACACAATTTTAGCTGGTGGAAATCATAGCAGATGCTAGACATTTTTTGATAAGAATAAAAATGGTTAAAGAGGACAAATTCTCATTTCTAATGAGGAGAAATTATTCAAATGACACTTCGATATTAAAAAAATCCCACTTGTACTTTAAAGTCGTTAGAAATTTAATATAACAGGGCTTGAAATTAACTTTTTTACTTGGTAGCACCGGTGCTCCCAACTTCAAATATTTAGGAGCACCCATCAAAAATGAATGAGCACTGCTGCTGTATTTTAAAACAACATCAATAGGACTAACAAAAAACAGAAACAACTATCGCTGTGATGACATTGATATTTGTGTGCAATAATTCCAAAATGAATGTCTAATAATTATAGAATATTAATGATGATGAAAATGACAATAATAGTAACAATGAATTACATTTCTCATTATGATGCTGCCTTAAACGACGTGCATGAATATCTGCTATAAAAAGTCTGTTACTTTATGAAAAATAAATGTATAGTTTGCATCAAACAAAAATGAAGCATTGCAGTAAGAAATATGGATTTTGTACTGCTGTTTTTATATGCATGTCAATTTAATAAATAATATTTATGCTACAAAACAAACAAAATATTATAATAAATAATTCAATTCAATGCTGAAAGCTGCAAAACAGTCATCAGTAAATAAAAAAAAATAATATACACCTCAAAAAAGAATAGACAAGAGAAAGTAAGTAAAGTCTCACTTCTATAACTATTTAAAAGTTTTGGTTTCAGTTTGTGTCAATTTAAAGGTTTAGTCTGAGCTCAGGCTGGCTGATCTTCATTTTTCTGTGTTAGTAGAAAGCAGGCGAGTCAGCCGACCCAATTTATGAGCAGGCAGAGCAGTACTCTTGCGATGACCACCGACGCAATACCGTTCGTTGTTATGATGAGCCGCAGTTTCAGTGTAAACTTAGTAAAGGCGAGCTCCTTTGACGATAAGTACAGTATTAGATTTTACTTTTAGCGGACATTTGCGCTGAACACGCATCGAATGCAACGCATCGAGATTCGGGCACCTTCTCCGAAAAGCACGTACTCAATTGATCTCAGCTGGCGGATCAATATTCACCACGTCATGATCGCTCTCATCTGCGCCCTCAACTTTAGATGGGGTTTGCAAACCTGTGTGCTTTAAGTTATCACTCTTCAGCCGTTTGTATTTCCCGTGGTCATAAAAGCTCCTTCCTTGTCATCTAACAGCGGAAAGTCTTGAGTGATTGACAGCTAATAGGAACCAATATAGCGGCAGGGAAGAGCGATTTCAGCGCGTTTTTACAAAAAAATCAAAACAGGTCGCACTACAACCATTATCTGTAGTCGCACTAATGCGCCAAAATATATTATTAGGTCGCATAGATTAATTTTCGGGCGGATATCCAAACTTTTGAGCAATAATGCAAATTAACACCTCTTTTTAATAATCCTCTCTTTTGTTCTTAGTTTTCAAATCAAACAATGTGGAAATGGACTGGGTTTTGAAGCACACTGGTCCGAACTGTCCAGAGACTGAGGGAGATGGACTGGTCAGACTGCGCGGCCTTCCTTTTGGATGTAGCAAGGAAGAGATTGTGCAGTTTTTTTCAGGTATATTTCCAAATTCCTTCCTGTAACCCTTCACATAGTCATCTGGAGAAGTAATAAAGGCCAAGCGTAGTCCTCATTGAGGTGAATTTGGCCATTCCCATGGTTGCTAGATTACAATTTGGCACATTGGTTCATTAATCCAGCATTGTTCCTTTAAATTACTTTGCTACATTAGGAATGTTCCTTTCTTAGCTACCTACCAACTCTTGGGATGGCCACTTTATCATCAAGTGTAAGCAAAGTTAGTGGAATGCTTGCCCACTTTGTAGGTCATATTCCCAAGTGGTGCAACTCTCCCAGTAGGATTCATTAAAATATGCTGCTTTTTTATTTGTTTTAACTACTTATTTTCATTCAAGAAAAGAACAAAGCACACTTTGTAAATGGGCATGTGATTTATTTAATATGTCCCCGTTGGGGTTATCTGTCCTTGGGTTGAAGGGTTGGAAATCGTGCCAAATGGGATAACATTGCCGGTGGACTTCCAGGGGAGGAGTACGGGGGAGGCCTTCGTGCAGTTTGCTTCACAGGATATAGCTGAAAAGGCTCTAAAGAAACACAAGGAAAGAATAGGGCACAGGTGGGGATGGATTGGTTGGATGGTTAAGCTGTTTTTCATGTGGTAAACATTCAAAGTGGTATGCAACATGAACCTGGACACGCACACGTCTTTACCAGAGGGCTCCCAGGGCCTTGATGGATTCCTACTGTTTGTTTTTCTTCTTCTTATGTGTTTATTTGTGAGATGTTGAAAAGAAATGTCTGGATTCAAAAAGGCTGAATGCATATTTAGTGCGCAGCAATGGTGCAACGTGGGATTTTTCTAATTCATAGGCAAACGTAAACGAATGCTTTGCAGCAGCCACTTTGAATATCATTTTAGACTGGATTGTGTAATGGGTCTTCATTTACTGTTATGCTAAATAAGCATTAGAGATCAATGCATGGATGGCACAGAAATACTTAATGTTATCTTTTAAAGGTTTTCTTTTCTACGGAGACCCTAAAGGAATGTCATGATGGGGGAAAATGGGTGGGAGGGGAAAAAATTGGTGAGGGGGAAAAAAACTGATTGATAGGAAAATGTATATTTAAGTTTTTGCGTTCTCGCAAATATGTTTTGCGAGGGAACACAAAGATTGACAAACACTTGCAGTTTACTTTATACTTGTCAAACCTTCCATTTTCTTCAGGATTCTCCTGTATTTTACCAATCTTTTCCGCTATCATCCTATCATTAAGTATTTTCCCATATTTTTCATCCTGAAAGCATGCTGAAATGTATATGAAAATGCACTCACTTTCTTTCCATTAAAGCTGTGCGTTAATCATCGCCCTTAATATGCAACCTCTGAATCAGTGAATGCATGCATGTATAAGCGCTGACTGACGGACGCGCATCATATTATAAACTGATCCCAGATCAGCTTCTGTACACGCCATTTAAAGAGAAGCTAAGTGCAGGACACTGGGACTTGTGTGTGTTTAAGCAGACAAATACACTTGAATAATCTCTGTCCTGCGTGTTTTATTTTAAACAACTAATTGTCTCTTTAATGAGCACAAACTAAAGTAATGGAATGCTTTTATTATAGATTTGTGCATTCTTACAGTGACTCTGTACGATGTCTCTGTAAGAATCTGTTATCAAACAAAACGAGAGATTGATTTGCTGTTCTTCACTTGTTTGATAACAGAGGTGTCACTTTAAGTGGCATGTACAAAACTGATCAGGGATTAGTTTATCATACAGAGCGTGTCTGTCAGTCAGCGCTTATACATGCATTCACTGATTACGGGGTTGTATATGAAGGGCGATGACCAGCGCGCAGCTCAAATATAAAGAAAGTGAATGCAGACATTTATATTAATTTCAGCGTGCTGTCAAGATAAATATATCAGAAATATGGGAAAATACTTAATGATAGTGGGATAAAATGGTAAAATACAGGAGAATCCCAGCAAAAACTGGAGGGTTTGTCAAGCAAAAGTTTTGCCAGAATATATCTTCCTATCCTATCATAGTTTTTTTTTTTTTTCACACCAATTTAATTTAATTTTTTTCCACTATCACATCCCTTCCGGGTCTCCGTACAGTTCTTATATTCTTTGGTACTGAAAATATATTTTCAAAAAAATCAATATTTAACAGAAAATAAGTCAAACTGGGTGAAATTGTATAGTTGGATTCAGAAAAATGGGTTACCTCTTAGTTTTTAAATAAAACAAACTTATTTCAGTTGGGGCTGGTCAGTACATGAAATATTGTGATACATTTTTGTCTGATAATTCACTTCTAGATCAATTTGGCAGCCTATCAAACAGCAGAAATAAATGCGACAATAGCCAGTTCCTTGTAGGTCTGCATTTTTTGCAAGTTTTGGTTTTAGAAAATGCTGATTTTACTATAAACTTAATGTTTTAATGCTAAAAGTAAAGCTTAAAGCTATATAAAGTGTTAAGTGCATTATATCATTTGTTTTGAAACGTATCTCAGCATTTTTCAGACAATATATGACATTTACTATTTCTGTATTTTAAGTCAAGCTGCATAATTTAGTGGATTATATGGTATCAGCAATACTTTATTGAACTCTGAAATGCATGGATATTATACATGTAGTGCAGGTAAAGGTTTACTTATGTTCTTTGCTGTCCATTTTACATCTGAACAGGAGTGTGTGTGTCAGGTTCTTGCATTGCACCTTAATGCTCATCCGTACGATTGTAGGTATATTGAGATCTTTAAGAGCAGCAGAGCTGAAGTACGGACCCATTATGAGCCTCCGCGTAAAGGCATGGGCATGCAGAGACCTGGGCCTTATGACCGGCCCAGCGGAGGAGGACGGGGCTACAATGGCATGAGTCGTGGGGGATCCTTCGACCGGATGCGCCGTGGAGGATATGGTGGAGGTTTGAACTGATTTCTTTTTGATAATCCTCCATTGAGTCTGTGCTTTGCTTGAAATAACAGCTGTGTTTGGTGTAAATAGGAGTGTCAGATGGGCGTTACGGTGATGGTGGTAATTTCCAGAGTACCACAGGCCATTGTGTTCATATGAGGGGACTCCCTTACCGGGCCACAGAACCCGATATCTACAATGTAAGTGGGGGCTGTATGATGGGCTGTACTTTTCTGTGTTTGTTTGAGAATGATGGTAAAATAGAAATTATTTATTGTAAAAAATTTTCTATACAGTTTTTCTCACCTCTAAACCCGGTCCGTGTGCACATTGAGATCGGTCCAGATGGACGGGTGACCGGTGAGGCTGACGTTGAGTTTGCAACACATGAAGATGCAGTGGCTGCAATGTCAAAGGACAAGGCCAACATGCGTAAGTTCGGGGTATCCTGACTAGATTGCCTAAATCATGGGTGCCAAGTTCAAGTTGTTTTAGTTGTGTTTGATTAGAGGAGCTAAATTCTGCAGGAAGGTAGATCTCCAGGAACAGGGTTGAGCACCCCTGGCCTAAATCTTTAGGCAAGACACTACAGAATATACACTGCGTCTTCATGCACTGGTCATTGTTATTTATAGATTTTTACAGTATTTTTCATTTTTCATTTTACATTTTTCATGTGTTGTTTCAAGTTTGTTTATTTTATTACAAGTAATGGTAACACTTTATTTTGATGGTCCATTTGAGTATTAGTAGACTCTGCTTAATATTTGTTGATACTGCTCCCTTAACACGTGCCTATAATGACCCATTTCCATTGGTATGGTTCGGTATGCTTTTATGGCCATTTCCACTGTCAAAGGGTAACTAATAGTGATCCGTATATTTATCACCCATTGCTAAGGATACCTAGCATGAAAAAACGGTACCAAAAGGCGGAGCAAGATGTGCAGCTGAACGCTATTGGTTCACATACATGCGTCACTCACAGAAGAAGGAGAATGAAAACAAAGGAACCGCTATTTTTAAAAACGCAGCTGAGACACTGTAATAATACATACATATAATAACCAGCCATGGTCGACTTGAGCTTTAACAAACCTTGTCGTTGTCTTGAACAGCCATAAAGGCAAGGAGAAAAATATGTTGCCATGTCCTGTTGTTGTTTTACAAGCCCGACTAAAAGTGCGAGCTGTTTCACTTTCTCTAGAGAGCTCACGATCACTTGCCCTGTTTCTATGTTTGAAATGACAAACGTGTTGAGCTTATATTAACGTGCGTGTGATTATTGAAGCGTTTCTGATATCTGATCCTTTCAGAAACAGACCAATGAGAAAGTTTAGCGAGAAAAAACAAAGGAGATGCTGAAAAAAACAGCAGCAACTGCTGCTTCTGCAACCTAAAACATGAACAAACTGCCATATTTAACTATTATCATCACCTTTTAGACTTATGAACTCGGAATGACCAAATTACTCTTTAACAGAGGTTACATGTGCTGTTGAAGATTAAAGACACAGATGAGAGGTTTGCTCTGACTGTGGGCTATATTTAGTGTTGTTTTTGAACCCAAATAAGGACTAAATGTCTGCTGTGTGTAGTTTTTCTGTAATTTACAACATATGAACACATCAGCCCTTTACTGTCAACAATGTTGCATTTATCTATTTTATATAACTGCAGACGTTACAGTAGGCTTTCGTACTGTCATTGATCTTATAATCAAATCCTGTTCATAGAAAAGTTAGTAATGAATATTTTTTTACACAAGTATTTGTGTATTAAGCCTCTATTTTGTGAGAAGTGCTTGTCATATGGTATGTGAACGACCGTACAGCGTTACTGTGACATTTTCTCGAGTAAAAATTAAGTCATCTGAAACTGTCTTTACACCCACCAAAAGGGTACCCTTTTAGCATTGGAAACGCAAGGTTGATAAAGGTGACCCGTACCCTACTGTACTGTACCTCAGTAGAAACGGGCCGTTAGAAACTTTGCAAGTACATGTCAACTTACCCTAACCCCAACCGAAGTCTACTTATAATAAGAATTAGTTGGCATGTAGATGCAATGTAACTTATATTCAACAAACAGACCATCAAAATAAAGTGTGACCAAAGTAATAACTAATTTTATTTCGAATAGAAAGGGTCAAAAGATATTGGGCAGAAAACATTTTAGAACAACAGGAATATATTATTTTACATTTAGTACTTTTCAACAATCACGTTTTTTTTCTTTTTTAAACCGACATCTAAATAACTATTATATTTAAAACAGGAGTTGAGTACTGAACAGCTCTTTTTAACAGTTTAATTGTTATATAATCGTAAAGGCAATTGTAATTTTAGGCCTTATTTGTCACTTTCAGCCATAAATCAATAATGATCCCTACAGCACGTTCTTTATCTTTTTGCATCTGAACAATTCAGATATTTTCAGTCTACCCTCGTTTACAAGAATATGCACCCTTTTGTTCAAGTCGTGCACAAGTTTCTCTAGACTTTGTAATTTAGTTTTGATCGGGGACCTCCATCTCAGATCCTGGTTTCTGCTTCTGCAATCCTTTGTTATGCTTGTCTAGCTTACCGCGGTGCAATTTCAGTAGCTGTGAAATCGGCTCCATTTTATCATCTATGAGTTTACAGATATTAGCTGCACTCTCCGCAACCACCTCTGACAGTGGGTTTGTGGATATTTTCTGATTGCTTCAGAAAGTAGTCATCTATGCTCAATGTAGAATGCTAAGTCTGAGCGTGTAAAAATGTAAATTCTACCGAAAGTTTTGAAATAAAATGACAAAGTGACACTACCGCTTAACTACACACATCCTTCTTTCAAGCCGCCATCCTGGAACCTCCCTCTTTTTGCATCTGAAGATACAATGTGTAGTAATGATGCTTTTTTTCTTTCATGCACTGAACTCTACTTTAGTAGAATGCATTAATTAATCAGATTTTTTATTTTTAACTTGCTCAAAGATCTAGTTCTTTTGTTAGCAATAAAACAAGAATTTTGTTATTTTTAGCCCCACTCCTGCTAGTAATGATTTTGGTGTTTAGATAACAAGTGGTTAGTGTTTAGTGTCCCCCCCCCACTTCCCGCAATAGTTGAAGAATCTAAAATACATGATACAATGTACAAACTGAGCTTTTTCTAAATAATTTATTCCCCCTCTTCCCTTTCAGAACACCGATATGTTGAGTTGTTCCTAAACTCAACAGCAGGGGGCAGTAATGGGGGCTATGGAGGGCAGATGATGGGAGGAATGGGTAAGTTAAGCATTTAACTACTCAAGCTACTGAGGGCAATTTGATGCCAAACATAAAATAGGCAACAGTCATCTGTTAATAGTTGTTCAGACGATACTGGAGCAGCTGACCTCAGGCCAAAACATCACTTAAAAGCCCTTTGTTGTTTCTAGGAAATCAGTCATCTTATGGGCACGGAGGACAACAGATGGGTGGAGGATACACTGGAGGATACAGCAGCCAGTCCAGCATGGGAGGCTACAATGACTACAGTGCGTTTTAACTTTTGTACAGTTTTGAATAGCAGTGTAACGCTACAGCGGAAATGAAGCATACCTCCGTTACTGTTTACCATGTTGTATTTTTATATATATATATATATATATATATATATACACACACACACACACACACACACGTCCACTTTGTTGCAGAAATGACAATTTACATGGTAGTTTTTATATCTTGTCATGACAGGCATTACACATCAAATAATTAAGAAATTAGTCACCGATTAAGTAAAATAATGACTGTAAATGCTAAAATAGTGCACATTTCAGATAGATATATATTTTTTCTAATGAACTAACAAGCTGTGGATGATGAATGACTGAAATAAACATACAAAATAGCACTTGTTGTTTTAATTTTCTAATAAAGTGATCACACTTGATTAAAAGTAACACATATTAGACAGCTTCTTATGGATATTGGACGGAAGATCAATGGAAATGTTAAAAGATTGACCCTGGGATTTGAAAACCTTTATTGAATTGGTAAAAGAGGTGTAATACTAGATTATTCAAATTAAATCCTTAAAGTCTAGTGGTTACAGCAACATTGTTTGATACACAAGTACAAAACTGAAAGAGAATACAATGTTTTATTGCAAACGTTTAATATGATGTATGTATTCTGTTTACAGATAGCCAGGGTGGGATGAGCAACAGCTATTACGGTGGCAGCCGTGGCTCGGTGGGCATGAATGGCATGGGAGGTGGCTGGGGCATGTAGATGCACCCGAAGGAGTATTCTTAAGTTTAGGGTCGTCTTGATTCTGCTGAGGCCGTCTGGGTTTTGTTCTCTGTCGCAACGATGAATATGGGGAGGATCCGATTCACACTTTGCCCACCTGTACTCTGAACCTCAGCGTTGGAATCAGTGTTATTTCCTGCATTTCCTAAGTTTAAGGGTCAGAAGGCCCCATTATTAATGCTTGTAAATATCCTCCAGACGTATCGATCACTTCAGAGACTGTAGCACATCGGCCTTGCATGGCATGAGGAGCTGCAACTCCACTTTTTATAATGCGCAAAGAACTTTGTCGAAACCTTATTTTTTAAAAAGTGAACTGGAAAATGTTTCTTTCTTTTTCTTGTCCAAGCTACTTCACGAATGCATATTTTAATTTTCATTATTGTAGACGCCACAGTTTCCCTCTTTTGGTCTGTCTTTGATTTCTCATATGTGTGGGTAATAAACATTCACAAAGGTATTGTCTCTAATTCATCCAAGGCTTTCTTTTTTCTCATTTCTGTCAAACAGGTTAAAACAATGATAAACCAGATACAAAGGCTAACCAGATTAATGCATTTTAGCAATATACAACGATTTAATAAAGGCAGCTTTTGACTGTAGAAAGCATCTGCATGCACATTAGGATTGTGTCAGACTATTTTTTGTGCACAAGGTGGTGCCAGTGGTCCCACTGAGGGTGATCAACATTTTACTTGCACATTTTATATTAAAATAACTGCTAATAATAAATAATGCATCTTAAAATAGTGTATGTAAATGCATCTATTTAGACCGTTTAAATGTATGTGAACTTTTAACAAACACTTTTCTTAAGCTTACAAAGGGTAGACAAACTATAAATGTAATATTTCAAAAGGTTTATTTTGACCAAAATGCACACGACTCCTGTCTCAAGCCAATGTTATAATTAAACTAGCGTAAAATTAGTTTATTATTAACCAGCTAATAAACACCAGACAGTGACACTACTATCCCCCTCAAAAGTATTGACTTGTAAAGTTATGAATCAGGTTGGATTATTTGCTTTATGTTTGCTGATAAAGGTGTGGCAAGAAGCAATTCATAAAGCGGAAGTGTGTGTGTGACGTTGTCGTAGTCGGTGTATATAACCGGCGCGCGTTCGTGTGTCCTGCTCGCCGCACGAGACTTTTGACACAGTCTCCAGCACGCGCATCAGCGCGTCCAGATCAGATCGCGCGGACGGCGCTGGAGGCAGGGAGGTTCAGTCAGACCGACTACTGCTTTATAATGTCTTGGACTATCCCAAAGAAAAGGAAGATGGAAACATTTCGAATTATGTTTTGTCTCGGTAAGTGTTTAAAACAAGGTTTTCATACCAGATTTTACCAAACATGCACATGGACCTGCTAGATGTGTGGGACTTGGTTAACTTGGTGTTGAGTGAGATACGAGAAGTTTTCAGCGCCAATATATATATATATATATATATATATATATATATATATATATATTTGTACTTCAACCGTGACACTTTTTTTCTGCGAGGTTATTATATCAACTTTTAACAGATTAATCAATTTAATCACTTTTTTAATTAATGTATCTACAATCACCATGGGCTTTACAAACTGCTACTTTACAGTGACAAATGTGTTGTTTTTTCAACCCAACCTTTGTTCAGATATAGACAAACACCTTAGTTTTTTTCTTCCCTTTCTTAATATATATATTATTTTTAATATTTTTGTTGATTGTTGGGTTTGTCCATAAATAGCTCCAACTTGGGTTGAAACCACCCTGCACTTTAATTTTGAGTGTAAATCTAAATACAGACTAAATGTCTATTATAGATGTGTGAAAAAAGTGTCTTGTTCTCCAGTGTTACTCAAGGTGTGCAGTGGCGCCTCTCTGGACAGGTTTGAGAGTGGAAAACCCAGGACAACAGAGGTCAACCTGCTTCACACCTCAGAGAAAACAAACATAACAGGGCTCCAGGCGGACAACGGGACCAGTGTGGGTGATGATGACTATGAAGAAGATTATGAAGGGGATTATGAGCTAAACCTGCCAAGAGGTAAATTTGCTTCTTTTCATTAGCAAGTCAGTTTAAGATTGGGCATAAAAAATTTTTTTAATGCTCAAATAAAATAAAAAACATATTTCATGCTACACATTTAACAAAAAAATAAATAAATAAATAAAAATGGTGAAAGCAATGTAGATATTGGAAACGTTGGAAGCATTTCATTAAATGTTAGCTGAATGACATTAGTTTTAGTTATACTTTTTTTTACCTTGATTTCCACCACTTCTGCTAAATTGGTTTTACAATTCCTTGCTATTTTAGTATTGCAAATGTACTAGAGCTGCACGGTTCTGAATAATCAGAATTTTATTGAGTATATCATTCTGGATTAAATGATTCAGTCACTCAATAATAACTGTGTCCAAAATCGCACTTCCCTACTATCCTATGTGAGTGGATAAATATGTCCAAAGTCATTTTAGACACCTATCCCATAAGGCCAAAGGAGTGGATTCATAAATGGAAGTGAATGGATACAAAGGATGCTGGTAGATCATATGATAATCAACATGGTGGGTGTAATAAATTACATTTTCTTCAATCTACCCATGTTCATACAGTGTTTCTCAACCACGTTCCTGGAGAACCACCAGCTCTGCACATTTTCCTTGTGTCCTAAACCAAACACACCTGATTCATATCAGAAAGACCTGCAAAGGGTGTGACAAAGGAGACATCCAAAACATGTTATGTTTGTGGTCCTCCATGTATGTGGTTGAGAAATAGAATAAACAATTTATTGTCAGGTCAGTTAAAATTCAGTCAAGTAGTCTGCAATTTCAAACACACCTTAAGTGTGTCCTTAATCGCATACTTCCCTACTATATAGTATGTGAAAAACAGTAGATGAGACGCACTCAGATAACCTACTATTTCAGGCAAGATTCTGTAGTGCGCATCCAACGGACATTTTACTCTCATGACGCCATGTGAAAGAATTCATGAATGGGAGTGAAGCGCCGCAACTGACATGGGTAGGTCATGTGAAAATGACAACATGGTAAATGAAGTACGTCCGAATTCCATTCATACTTCTCACATTCATACTATAACGGTTGTGAAGTACGTTCAAATCAAAATATAGCACCTACATGAGTAGTATATGCTATTTTAGATGTATAGTATTTAAAAAAATAGTGGGTGGGAAGTAGCCAGATGACCTACTTCTTTTAGTGAGATTCTAAAGTGAGCATTAAATTGACGCTTTACTATCCCATTTTTATTTTATTTATTTATGTTTATTTATGAATGGGAGTGACATGGGTAGGTAATGTGATAATGACAAAATGGTGGAAGAAGTATCTGTGACCTCCAATGATTGTAAAGTGTATTCAAATTAAAATGTAGTAACTTTTCCGTTGGTAATCCTGCAATTTAGGACGCAGCTTCTGGTTTGTCGACAGATACTTTATATGTTACTTGTCGCCACCTACTGGCATACAGGTGTAATTGTTACTTTCAAAACATTATTAACTCTATTTTAAAGTTTTTATCCAAACAATAAACTATAATCTCAGTACTTTTTTGATCATTTGAATGTTTGTATCACAAAAATAAATCAAGTAAACATAATAAACAAATAAAATATACAAAACTACTACTTTGTATTTGTCAAAGGCTTAATAAGTATATGTTAATCACTGTCTTTGTTTTCAGTGTTTTTGTTTAAAAATAATGAGGTCGCAGTCTTTTAATTTAATTGACTTTAAACAAGTCGTGCAGCTCTGAAATGTACATTCATGCATTTCACAGGAAAACCAGTGAATAGTTTAGTGTGTTGGACAATTGTACTATATTAGATCATCATGCACTGACATCACTCTTGCTCAACAGTGGCATTTTCCACCAAACCCAAACATCCGTCGGCGATGCCCACTACTGAGAAGACAAAAAAAAGAAAAAGGAAGGGCAAAGGAAAAGGCAGGGGGAATAAGAAGAACCTCTGCGAGGAGGAATACAAAGATTTCTGCATTCATGGAGTGTGTCATTATCTGCGGGATTTACGCACTCATTCTTGTGTGTAAGTTTCATGCAGTTCTATTGTCTTAGTAATCCAAAAATGACAATTCAGTCATTGTTTACTTCCCTCAAGTTGTTCCAAACCTGTCTGAGTTTCTTTCTTCCGTTAAACACAAAAGGAGATATTTTTAAGAATGTTGGAAACTAGTAACCATTAACTTCCATTGTTTTTTTCTATACTATAATTGTCAATAGTTTCCAACATTCTTCAAAATGTTTTCCTTTTATGTTTAATAGAATAATAAAAAACATAACGTTTTGGAACCAAGCATGAGTAAGGGTGAGGTAAAGGATGGTAAAACTTTCATTTTATTAATTTAGTAGATACTTTTGTCCATAATAATTTGCTGATATCTTTCACCTGTTTAAAACCAGTTTGAGTTTCTGTCTTCTGTTGAACAAAAAAGCAAGATATTCTGAAGAATGTTGGAAACTGGAAACCATTAACTTTCACTGTATTTTTTTCCCTATCATAAATGTCAATGGTTTCCAAATGGTTTAAAAGGTCTTCCTTTTTTGTTCAAGCTAAGTTTTTACCAGTTAATAGTGTTGGAATCACTTAAGGGTGACTAAATACTTTTTTTAAGTATAAAAATGATGCCCATAAAATGAGCCCAAAAACTAGTGTAAATATATTAAAACTAGTGTAAATATATTAAAACTAGTGTAAATATATTAAATGGATAGACAAAAATGATAATAGGTAACAGATTTATTGCTTTAATCCACTTGTTAAAAAAATAATTCACCCAAAATTGCAAATTCATTTATTTGCTGATATCCTTCACTTGTTTAAAGACCAGTTTGAGTCTCTGTCATCTGTTGAACACAAAGGAGACATTTTAAGGAATGTTGGAAACTGGTAATCATTTACTTCCATTTATATTTTTCCCCCTACTATAAATGTCAATGGTTTACAACACTCTTTAAAATGTTTTTTATTTGTGTTTAAGCAAATAAACACAAACACACATAAAGATTTGGAACCATCCTAGGGTGACTAAATGATGATCAATTTTTAAGTATAAAAAATTATGGCCATGAAATGATCCCTAAAAATGTGTAAATATAGAATGTAAATATATTAAATGTAAAGATAAAAATGATAACAGGTAACAGATTTATTAATCTGCTTGTTAAAGGGATAATTCATTAAAAAATTAAAATCCATGTATTTGCTGATATCCTTCTTGTTTAAAACCAGATTGAGTTTCTGTCTTCTGTTGAACACGAAAGGAGATATTTTAAATAATACTGAAAACTGGTAACCATTGGCTTTTTTTCCCCTATGATAAATGTCAATGGTTTACAACATTCTTTGAAATGTCTTGCATTTGTGTTCAAGCTAATTTAAAAAAACACATAAAGGTTTGGAACCAATTGAGGGCTAGTAAATAAGGATTACATGTTTTAAGTATGTTCATTTAGTAGACAATTTTGTCTAAAATGGTGTATAATTGTAGGTAAATATATTTAATGTATAGATAAAAAAGGATAAAAGATGACAGATTTCTTGCTTTAATCTGCTTCTTAAAGGGATAATTCACCCAAAAATAAAAAATCATTCAATTACTGATATCCTTCACTTCTTTAAAACCAGTCTGAGTTTCTTTTTTCGCACAAAAGAAGATATTATTTGACTTCCATAGAATTTTTTTTCTGCTATAGAAATCATTGGGTATCAGCATTCTTCAAAATATCTTCCTTTGTGTTAATGGTTTAAAAACACATTATGGAAGAGTAAATGATGAGTTATTTTAAAGTTTGGGGTGGACTATCCCACTAAGTATAGTGTCATGCATCACAGTCTCTAGGTCCAAACACTCTATCAGATACCAAAAGCAAACAAATGGCATTGTTACACTCTCAGTGTGATAAAATACTTTTGAAAGTCATAATTGCAATATTTATTTCTAAATTATAGTTTGTGATGCAGCAATTCAAAAGAATGACGAACACCATGATTTTGTAACAGTATTTCCTTCATCACTATTTTAATAATCGGATAGGAAAAGAATGTAATCTGGGAATATTACCTCTGTCTCTTGATATGACATGGTTGTGATTTTGACCCTCTGAATGGCTTCTCATTCAGATGTCATGGAGGATACTCTGGAGAGAGATGTCACGTATTCACCCTGCCGGTGGGGAAGGAGGAGCAGCGTTACAGCCGAACCACAGCGCTGGCGGTCATAGCAGTGGTTCTGTCCCTCATGTGTCTCGCAGTCATCGCTATTCTGCTGGCATTAAGGTAAGTTACCGTCAATCAGCATTGTGCAGCATTCTTAATCATTATACCGTTATTGATTTACAGAATTCCTTAGATATTCTGCATGCTTTTCTGACAGGTACCACAAAAAAGATGACGCTGATGTAGAGAGCGAAGAAAAGGTCAAACTCGAGGCAACGTCAGTAAAACAGTGATAACGAAGGTAAATAGTTCTCTTTGAACTCCCAGATTTGTATGTTATTAATTTGTTTACATACGGACACACAAATTTACTTTAAAATTTATTTATATATATATATATATATATATATATATATATATATATATATATATATATATATATATATATATACAGTTGAAGTCAGAATTATTAGTTCTCAAATGGTGCTTATCAGAGGAAGGAAATTTTCACAGTTTGATAATATTTTTTCTTCTGGAGAAAGTCTTATTTGTTTTATTTTGGCTCGAATAAAAGCAGTTTTTAATTTTTAAAATCAATATTTTATGGTCAAAATTATTAGCCCCTTTAAGCTATATTGTTTTTCGATAGTCTACAGAACGATCGTTATACAATAACTTGCCTAATTACCCTAACCTGCCTAGTTACACTAATTAACCTAGGTAAGCCTTTAAATGTCACTTTAAGCTGTATAGAAGTGTCTTGAAAAATATCTAGTCAAATATTATTGACTGTTATCATGGCACAAATAAAATAAATCAGTTATTAGAGATGACTTATTATTTCTAAACTATTATGCTTATAAATGTGTTGGAAAAAAAACCTCTATGTTAAACAGAATTTGGGGGGGAAAATAAACAGGGGGGCTAATAATTCTGACTTCAACTGTATTTGTGTGGATAGATAGATAGATAGATAGATAGATAGATAGATAGATAGATAGATAGATAGATAGATAGATAGATAGATAGATAATGAATTATAGTATAATTTATAGTATATTGTAAACATATTGTTATAAAAATGATCTGTAACTGAACATTTATTCAGTTTATATACAATTTATTGCTTAAAATTATGTATGTAACGATGTAATAATTGTGTAGTAATTTAGCTATTAACATACATTTTTTACTGTATTTCAAATGTTTTTATATTAAAAAGTCCACATAATTTATTATTTTTTACAGTAATGTTTTACATCTTATTAACTATATTTCCTATTTATTAACTATAATATTAACTCTAGTTATTTCCTTGACAAATATAATTTAATATTTTTTACAAATAAAGGAGTTAAAATTCTAAAACTTCTAAATGCCATCTAAAATTTACTTCTAAACGGACTCTTGTGTGTGGGTTCAGTAATTTCACATGTATGTTGATGATTTCCATTGCATGTAAAGTGGAAAAACTGAACATGAATATAGGAAGTGGAGAAAAATGCTTGTTTTTGAAAGACATTTGAGGTGTGATTTAGAGGTTTTTGCATCTGAACTCTCAAATATAAGTATGTATGCGTGTCTATGTGTTGTGTGTGTTTATATAGAGAGATTTAATTAGTTTTAAACATGTCTAAGTAGTTTTTATTTACTTTTATAGTATAATATCTTGCTTTTTTTTAAATAAATGAAAATTCCAAACATTTATATATATATTTTTAATAAATGTTTTTCAGGATAAAGAAAGCCAAAAGGTCATGTGACCCATGGATAGACAGCACTATACATCTCATCAAGGGCATGATTTCTGCATTATTCCTAGTGGTAATCATTATTTCTCCACAATCTTTGCACCTCTTCGTATTTGTTGTGCGCCCCTGATGTCCTGCAGTATTGGTGTCTATCTAAACTGGCATGAAGGATGCTTTAAACACTGCCCCGTGTGCAGTACATGTACAGTACTGTCATGGAGATCATGCAGACAGGACTGAAAATGATGAATGTATCGCGACTTCAATCAAAGTTGCTTTTTTTGTTCGTTGCTTATTTATTTATGTTGAAAAGCTGAGTTTCTGTTTTCTCCCATCAGTCTGAATCTGTAGTACTGTCAAAAACGCCACAAAGCACTTGTAATTATTTATTTATAATGTATTTGTTATTTATTTTGATACGTAACAATTGTGTGTACTGAATGCACTGCGAGTTTTGTAAATGTGTTTTTATTGTATAGATATTTATTATCGATGAATACAATCAATTAATGTTCTAATAGGACTGAAGTTGCATCGCAAACTTTACAATCGCATTCGGAGGACAGTACGGTTTGAATAATATTTTAGCTAAACTGTGAATTAAACATTTGCGAATGCAATCAAATAAATGTACTCTGCAGGAATGTCAGACGCAGGGCTTAAGCCTTTTTTATATGTATTACTGAGAAAGTGTAGCTTAAATTAAGTGAAATAAAATGGAATATGTTTATTAGTGTGTTTGTTTTATGCGTTTAGTATAAATAACATGATTTCATGTACTAATTTCAAGCAATGGTAACAAATTTCTGCTGTTTAATAAACTTTTGTGACTTTCTAAGTGTCTCTTATTTTTGTTGAAAACCTGGGAAAGATTCATAAGTGGCACCGTATTTGTCACAACTAATTAGTTCATTCATTTTACTTCGGCTTAGTCTCTTTATTTATCAGGGGTTTGCCACAGTGGAATGAATCGCCAACTTATCCAGCACATGTTTTACACAACAAATGCCTTAATAACTGCAACCCAGTACTGGACAAGATCCATAAACACTCATTCACACACATACAGTACCAATTTAGTTTATTCAATTCACTGCATGTCTTTGAACTGTGGGGGAAACTGGAGCACCCTGAGGAAACCCACGCCAACATGGAGAGAACATGCAAACTCCAAAGAATTGCCCACTGACCCAGCTGGGACTCGAACCAGAGATCTTCTTGCTGTGAGAAGACAGTGCTATCCACTAAGCTACCGTGTCGCCCCACAACCAATAATAAAACTATTTTTATTATTTAGATTTACTATTTTTTATTTATAAAATTTTAGTGTGTCAGATATAAATCTGCAGATATACAGATGTATGTTGTAAAGTTTAAACACTCACTGTGTGAAGTTATAAAAATATTGTGTTGTCATTACTACATCTGATATACTTGTCTTTAGCTTGGAGATTTAAGTCTCAAGTTGGTTTACCATCATTTGTCTCCTGAGGAAACCAAACAGAGTGTCAACAGGAGTTAAAAATGCAGAACATACACGACTTTACAATACAAAACAACACGTTAATAGTAATAAAAAAATCTTGAGCAATGTTGCCACTGGGGTGACACATTTTACATGTAGCACACAATAATAGACACTAAAAATAAGTCCGCTTAAAGTCCGCTTAAATTAAGAGTCAGCTTCTAAACATTTTGACGCTTACTTTGGTATAACGCTGACACCTTTATCATATACTGTCATTTATGTTGCACTGTTTTGAGATTGAAAGTAGTCTACAAACTTACCGTGTCTGCAAAACTACCGAGCTGCCTTTTTAGTGAACATTTATTGTGGATTGCCTGCCTGTCTGACATTGAAAATGTTGTCTATGTAGGCCGCTCACTAGGTTTTGCAACAAGCTCTTTGTTTCGCGCATGCGCAGGGACTCCTTCCACTCAGCATCATGGCGGCTCCCGTAGACCTCGAGTTGAAGAAGGTAAAGGGTGGTTTTTGGTTTTATATCTAAAAACCAAACAGAGTTGTTACTTTGTTATGATAAAATACTGAATAAATGTTATTAAGCTTTTGTGGAGCAGAAGTAAGGTATAAAACTGTTTAAGCAACGCGATCTGCCAGTGTGTAACGTAGGTGCTTGCGAATCCTTTTAATGTGTATTGTTTGTTATAAAGATATGCAACATCATATTTATAGTTTACCACTGTAAATCCTTTAGAAATGAATATCCAAACACATATCAATCTATCAACACATCATTGCATGCTATAGGAAGCTTTCAATATGGCTTATTCTTTAGTTTTTGCTCATCCATATATATATATATATATATATATATATATATATATATATATATATATATATATATATATATATATATATATATGACATAATTTTTTGAAATATAACTGTTACAGCTATAGGAAATGCTAGATTTGCTGTATTACATATGAATTTGATAAAAAAATTTATTATTGTGCTGTCAAATGTTTAATCATAATTAGTCACATGCAAAATAATATTTTTTATTTACAAAATATTTAGTGATGTCTATATTTATGTATATTTTATATATATTTATAGATTATATATTGTGACTTTCTAAGTGTCTTATTTTTGTTCTAGAATTTATGTTGAAAACCTGGGAAAGATTCATTAGTGGCACCATATTTGTCACAACTAATTCATTAATTCATTCATTTTACTTCGGCTTCTCTTTATTCATCAGGGGTCGCCACAGTGGAACGAATCGCCAACTTATCCAGCACATGTTTTACATAACGAATGCCCTACCAACTGCAACAACATATAATAACATATAAATTGTTTAAATATAACAGTTACAGCTATAGGAAATGCTGGATTTGCTGTATTACATATGAATATGATAAAAATGTTATTATTGTGCTGTCAAAAAGAGCTGTCAAATGTTTAATCGTAATTAGTAACATACAAAATAATATTTTTTATTATATCTATAGATGATTTATTATTATAAAAATACAGTTATATTTATGTATAATTAGTATTATATGCAAACATAAATGATAGATAATTATAAATAAAAATTTTTTCAAATGAATGTGTATTAATATATTAATATATACATAAGATTTTTTATTTGCATTCATTTTGCCATGCAATAATCACAATTACTCATTTGATGACACATACAAATTATAAATATAAAGCTTTTATAAATAGAAACAAAATCTGTGTTATTTCCAGGATATCTGTGGGGTCTTAAAAAGTCTTAAAATGTCTTAAATCTCAAAAACAAAATTTTAGGCCTTAAAAAGTATTAGATTTACTGAAATATTGTGTTGTAGGTCTTAAATATTTTTTAGCAGGTCTTAATTTTCCTATGTTCATGAATAACTATCCAATCTGGCCATTAACACTCAACAATCACCAACAATCCCAATCTCAATAAAACTTTTAACGTTTTATTTAAAAATAGCATTTAATTACTTTTCTCACAGTAACATTTGTTTAAAAGTACTCCACTTTATATACCGCTGAGGTTGCTGACCTGACCTACATTTTGGATTATTAAAATATTATTATTGTAGACGGAAGTAATTGACAGCTATGCTTTGTTCTATTCTTGGTAAGGGTTATAGGAAGGCCCACACGGAATCTGCGCATGCAAATTTCCGCAGACTTTTAGCCCATCATTGAGTCTATTTATTTACTTGTATAAATGTGTGTAAATTTATATTTATTCAGTTTTAAATTGTTTTCAATAATATTATTGTGATATACAATAGTAATATTAAAATGTTCATATGATGTATTTACAATTCAGTTTGTAGTGTAATATTTTCTGTCTTTTAGTGGATGTATTATGAGAAACTTGCTTTGTTTACCAAATAAGTGGATCTAGTTGGATTTGCATTGTAAACATAAGAGCTAAAAAGCTGTTGCTTTTATTTCATGTATTAAGTTTTTAGTTATGACGCTATAACCATAATCATTCCACAAAAATCATATATATTTTTATTTTTTATTTTTTTTTTTACAAATTTCTCAGCAGAAATAGCAAAAATGTCAGCAGATTCTGTCTGGCCCTGATTATTGGGTTTGTAGATGAATATTTTTGAAACTTTGTAAAAAAAAATATTGAAACATAATATTTCCTGTATTCAATTTTAATAATTTTTGTATCTAGCAAGTGAAAATCTTTTCTAACTTGGATATAAAAAATCCTCAGCATTTAGTTCTGTATAAGTCCAAAATTGCATTTATAATGGTCTTAAAAATGTCTTAAAATGTCCTAAATTTAATTTTGTGAAACCTGCAGAACCCTGTATTTCATTCAGAAAACAAGAATCAATGTCATTTCCGTCAAATTTAGATTTTTTTTAACTCATCAGAAGCGACGTGTTTTCTAAAACAGAAAATAAACATGTATGCACGTTTTTTGCTATTTTATGCAAATTCAGAGAAAAAAATGAATAAAATTTTATTGTAAATTTACAGTTGAAGTCAGAATTATTAGCCCCCCTGTTAATTTTTCCCCCCAATTAAGCATAAAAGTTTTAATAGTTCATTTCTAATAACGGATTTATTTTATCTCTGCCATGATGACAGTAAATAATATATTACTAGATATTTTTTAAGACACTTCTATACAGCTTAAAGTGACATTTAAAAATTTAAAACTGCTTTTATTCTAGCCGAAATAAAACAAATAACACTTTTTCCAGAAGATAAAAATATTATCAAAGATGCTGTAAAAATGTTCTTGCTCTGTTAAACATCATTTGGAAAATATTTAAAAAAGAAAAAAAATCAAAGGGGGGCTAATAATTCTGACTTCAACTTTGTATTTGCATCATATCACAGCGGATTTCCTTCTAATCAAATCCTCAATCTCGGCATCTTTGCAGGCTTTTGCAGAGCTGCAGGCGAAAATGGTTGACACTCAGCAGAAGGTGAAGCTGGCAGACCTGCAGATCGAACAGCTGAGTCGTGTAAAGAAGCACGCAAATCTCACGCATGGAGAGATTACATCACTTCCTGAAAGCACTCGGATGTTTGAGGGAGCAGGACGGATGTATGTATAATTCTGGAGGTTTCAAATCTGGACCCTTTACTCTCTGTTGTTTTGACCTTCTCTTCCTTCCTTTATTCAGGTTTATTTTGCAGTCAAAAGGTGAGATCTCTAATCAGCTTTTGGAAAAGCAGAAGACGGCAGATGACAAGATAAAAGAGCTTGAGGTAGGTTATGAGCAAAAAAACAAATATAGTTGCTTATATTAAATCTACTTGTCCGACAAAGAACTGCTTATCAAAATACAAAGGATAGGTCACCTTATTTTAACATTTTTTACTTGCTGTTAAAAAAAATCTATGAAAGTCATAATTAAATAAGATATACACTCGGCGGCCACTTTATAAGGTACACCTTACAACTATCGGGTTGGAACCCCTTTTGCCTTCAGAACTGCTTTAATCCTCCAGGGCATAGATTCAACAAGATACTGGAAAATTTCTCAGAGGTTTTGGTTTATATACTGACATGATAGCATTATACAGTTGCTGCAGATTTGTCGGTTGCTTATCCATGATACCAATTTCCCGTGCCACCAAAGGTGCTCTGTTGGATTAAGATTGGGGGACTGTGGCCATCTGAGTAAAGTGAACTCATTGTCATGTTCAAGAAACCAGTCTGAGATGATTCATTTGACATGGCATGTTATCCTGCTGGCAGTAGCCATCAGAAGATTGGTACACTGAAGTCATAAAGGGATGGACATGGTCAGCAACAATACTCGGTCAGGCTGTGGTGTTGACATGATGCTCAATTGGTACTAATGGGCCCAAAGTGTGCGGAGAAAATATCCCCCACAACATTACACCACCACCACCAGCCTGAACTGTTGATACAAGGAAAAATAGATCCATGCTTTTATGTTTTTGATGCCAAATTCTGACCCTACCATCCAAGTGTTGCAGTGAAAATCGAGACTCATCAGACCAGGCAACATTTTTCCAATCTACTGTTGTTCAATTTTGGTGAGCCTGTGTGAACTGTAGCCTCAGTTTCCTGTTCTTAGCTGACCGGAGTGGCACCGAGTGTCTGCTGCTGTAGCCCATCCACCTCAAGGTTGGATGTGTTGTGCGTTCAGAGATGCTCTTCTGCAGACCTTGGTTGTAACGAGTGGTTAATTGAGTTACTGTTGCCTTTCTATCAGCTGGAACCAGTCTGGCCATTCTCTTCTGACTTCTGCTATCAACAAGGCATTTGCGCCCACAGAACTGCCGCTCACTGGATATTTTCTCTTTTTCTGACCATTCTTTATAAACAATAGAGATGGTTGTTTGTGAAATGCTCAGTAGATTAGGTTTCTGAAATACTCAGACCAGCACGTCTGGCACCAACAACCATGCCACGTTCAAAGTAATTTAAATCACCTTTCGTCCCCATTTTGATGCTTGGTTTGAACTGCTGCAGACTGATAAGAAACTTGTGATAACGAACAGTTGTATAAGTGTACCTATTAAAGTGGCCAGTGAGTATATATATATATATATATATATATATATATATATATATATATATATATATATATATATATATATATATATATATATATATATATATATATAGAAGTATATAGAAGCTTCTGGTTTTTCTAGTCTTTTGTGTAATCAAGAAAAAGAGATTTAAACAAATTGAAAGTGAGTAGATGATGCCAGAATTTTCCTTCTTTTATCATCTTAAAATTCTGAATGGATTGTAGTGTTTTAGTATTCATCAGCTAGGAAAATGCTAATGAAAAGCATTAAATAATTCAATGCTAATGATAAACAGAACATTATCATGCATTAGTGTGGATGCAAAAGGTTTTTTTCTTTTAACAATAAAACTGTGGGTTGGGGGGGGGGCACGGTGGTCTCAGCAAGATGGTTGTTGGTTCGAGCCCTGAAGGTGTTTCTGTTTGCATGTGCTCTCCGTGTCTGCTTGGGTTTCCTCCACAGTCCTAAGCGTGTTGTATAGGTGAACTGAATACACTAAAATGGCCATAGAGTGTAAATAAGAGAGTGTATAAGTGTTTCCCAGCGCTGAGGGTTGGGGAAGGGCATTGGCAGGTAAAACAAATGCCAGAGTAACTGCAGTTCATTCAGCGGCGACCCCTGATAAAGCAGGAAATAAGCACAGAGTTTGTACGCCACAAGTATCAAAATCACAGCAATTATACTCTAATGTAATAATATCACAAGCTGCGTCACACATATAGGAGGTTTAACCTGATTGGTTAGAACACAGATAGACTTAGACAATCTCAACATGTGTGCGTAAAATTCTAAACAAAATCACCAATGATTACTTTGGCGACAAGCAAAGAAGTCTCCTCCGATGAAGAACACACACACACACACACACACACACACACACACACACACACACAAAGAATGCTTATAGACTTCAAGGATGTCTTGTATCTTATCAGAATGGTACAATAAACATCTTTATACTGGCAGCTAACTAATACAAAGAAAGTCTCTCTCATACAATAGAATCTCAAAAGATTTGACAGGTTTTTGTTTTCATCAAAATCCAGTTTCATATGAGAGGTCGTAATGAATGAGCCTGAAGTTCCTGAGGAAAACGCATAACTTGGCATACAGAAATAACAACGAGACCCATATCATTCCAGTTTTACTTCAGTTTTCAGAGTTTATACTCATATTGCTTGACGCTTTTTGCAAGTTTGGCATCCTATCCTGGGAGAAAACCCTGAGCTTGGAGATGATTGAGCATGGCTCCTGCCTTGTCATTTAGCATAAATGGAGTCCAAGATTAGTTAGATCTCAAGAGCTCCCCCTGGTAAACAGAGGAAAAGGAGGAGATGGGGCGGAAGGGGTGATTCTTCCATAACAAAGATAGGGCAAGTAAGGTGAAATCAGTCTATTTATTGTAGACTTGGATCGATATGATTGGATTATCGCTGCTTACGGACGAGAGACCAGCCGCGATCAATCATATCACGTGCTCCTGTCAAAATTAGTTTATAAAATTTTACTTAACCCTATGGTCATCATATAATCTAAACATTTAGAACAAATTCAACTTTATTGATAATCATATCACAGAAAGGATCTTTTGCCAGTCCTATAGCTGTCATCATCTAGATACCCACCCTTTCAATGCAAACTTTGAGACAACCAGTCCACCCTATTATTGTAAAATGATTATTTATTTAAGCTCATCGCACACTGGATGCAAAATTCCACACCACGTCTTTTAGAATAGTAAACATTGTCATCTATGAGAGTACGCTCATCAGCGTCAAAATTTTGCCTTCTTTTCTTTTTTGTATTTCTTAACAATGTTTTTTTTTTTTTTTTTTTTAAAGAATACAATGTAAAGAGGGTGTGTGGAGTGTCTGGACCCCCTTTTACACTATACTTTGTTACAGCAAAAAGTATTTAGTTACTGTAATGCATTACTTTTCTAACTCATAAAGTTCTAACAATGGCAATCAAAGGTGACAGATTTTAACTAAGATCTATTATAGAAATCTTTTCCAAAGTTTGACTCAGATGACCAAATAATGGCCAAATTTACATCATAAACTCGGCTTTAGTGAGACCTGAAATGGGATTGTCAGACAAATAAGAGTGTGGGGTGGGGACTTCAGAAATTCAGAAAACGTATAAAGTGCATAAAATGTATATGTAGGTAAGAAAGAAAGGAGAAGGGGCAAATGTATGTGTGAGTGCTTTCTGTTCACATTTAAAGGGGGAATAAGATATTGTATGCAAAACTATAGGAACAATGACGTGTTTAGTTCCTCCGGATTGACTTTAAGTAAAATTGTATTATATTTTATTTTATTGTATTGTATTATATTTCAGTTAAAGTCTGATAACATTTCTTTCAAATTTCAAAATAAAAGGACCGTTATTTAAAGCATTTTGCATGTCACAAAATGACAATTGGTCAGAATAACAAATATTTTCACTTGTTATGGTTGAAAATTGGGGCGGCATTTCCCCCATAGTCTAAAGACATGCGGTATATAAGTGAATTGGAGAAACTAAATTGACCATAGTGTATGAGTGTGTGTAAATGTGTGAGTGTATGGGAGTTTGGCAGCACTGGGTTGTGGCTGGAAGGACATCTGCTGCATAAAACATATGCTGAAATTGTTGGAAGTTCATTCCGCTGTGGAGACCCCTGATAAATAAGGGACTAAGACGAAGTAATATGAATGATTGAAAATCGGTTTATATCCCTCAAACTTTGCTTTAAATATACATTCTTTCCTACTGTAATAAAGGTAACAACTAAAACTAAAAAAATAAGATTATAAAACACATTTTTAAAATGATGTCATCAGTACTCTACAGAATAAAGAAATCTCAAAAGATGAAATTCTAAATTCAGACACATTGACAAAAGTTTAAGTGCTTTCTTTAAGCGTTCACCTGCAGTTTTGTAGCATTTTTCACATCTGTTTCTTTCAAAACTCTTATTCTCATGCGGTTATTTTTCTCCTCAGCAATATGTGCATGTTTCCCCCACAGTTTTGCAAGTTCTCTCAGAATGTCACACTCGTTGATTGTGGGCATAAGCCCCCAGTCTTGTTTTTAGCTCTGTGGCGTGTTCATGGAGAAGCATGTGTGGTTAAGATGATGGGCAGACGTCACAGCGTTCCATTGCTTTGGTAAAACCACAAGAGATACGCAGCCCTCATGAAGTACTTATCTTCTCAAAAACATGCGCTCGCTGCATGCCACAATGTTTCTATTGTATCTGTATATTATTAGAGCCATCTAATAATATTCTGCCTCTCCTACTTCTGGAGCTTTATTTGTCCTTATTTGTGAATATTTTCCTGCCAGCCTCCATGTTTATAAAAAACTTCCTAAATGTTTTGTAAAATTAGTAGTGAGTTATGTTGGTGGGAAAGTCTTTCTTGATTTTCGTAGGTGGTCTGAAAAACATTCTGTGAAAGAACTGATGTATTCATTCTTGATTTAACTTACCAAGAAGTCAGTGTAGGAAAACAGGGTGATGACAGATGTCATTGTCGTCATCGATGTGTGTGGCTTTATGAAAATGACGGATGCGTACGATTCAGTGTCCCATCATGTTGTTTCCTTATGTGGGGTGTTGAATCACAGATTTTGTCACAGGTTTCCCAGCATCACAAACCTTTGGTCTGAAGTTTTACTGAATTTCCCCCCACCACGTGAATATCCTCTGA